ACTAACAACATCATTTGTAAACACACTAGTTGATATTATTGAAAAGAAACGAGAAATGTTAAGTATTTCTGTTTTTTGAACTGACTAAAATTATACAACTGCTCGTGCTAAAGAGATTAAAATTTCAAATACTTCTGTTTTTTCCAATACTTTCTATTTTGTTTAGTGATCTGCAAGGATGGATCAGGAATCGGAGGAGATTCCACTAGACCTGGAATCGCGACTGTCACCGGACTCTCTGCAGGAGATATGCCTGGACTATGTCTGTGATAATCTTACTGCTCTCTGTACGTTCAATGATAATGCAATACCAGCAGGTTTGCAGTTTAGGGACCCAGACACAATTCTAAACATAGAACTTTCTGAAAATCTACTGAAAAAGCTGTGTGAAAAAAAACAAATTTCAGATGAGGTCCTCAGCATATTTTCAAACCCGTGTACAACCATGTTAAAGAGAGCCTGGTTGACGGGAAGTTCTATTACAAGACAGGGTCTTTATGCATTAGCACGGCACAAAATGACAGAATTAGATGCTGCAAGGATGAAAAACTTAACAATTGACGAACTAGTAGAAGTTTTTGGAGAAACCGGGTTGTGTAATCTAAGACACCTCAATATAGGATGGATGGAAGTGAGCCGAACGGGCAAAAAAGTGACACGTAGCAATGACCATGTTGTTGCCGAACTCTCCAGCAGAGTTAGACTTCTAGAAAACCTTGATATTTCCATGTTGGGTGTGGAAACCTTGATATTTTTGCGTGCTTTTAAAACAGTACCTTTAAAATCACTTACCGCGTTCCATACACATGTTGACTTCTCTGATTCCCTTCTCGTTAAGGAAGTCGTAAAGTTTGATAATCTGCAACACCTTGATATCGCAACAGATTGTAAGCCACATATGTACCCTGCAACGGTACAATACACTGCAAAAGCGATTGACAAACTTTTACAGGATTCAACGTGCTTACCGCAACTGACTTCTATTGACATATCAGGGAACAGGCACGTTGCAGAGTCTTCCTTGAAAATGTTTTTTGATCACAGGCCTGGCATCCGCTTCCTTGGGCTGACTATTACAAGTCTTTGTGAAGCCGAGTTTTTGAATGATGATGAACATATCAGTTTCCGTCCAGGCGTTAAGGTAATTACTGTTTTTTCCAAGACTTGCATCCCTATGATAACTGATTGTGGCCCTGTGATGGAACACGTCATACCAAATTTCTTCGCAAACGACTTTTTGGCTATATACCGGTAATTACTAATTTTCAATTGATTGTTCAATTTTCTGTGAAATTGTGATTTTGATGGCATGAATAAACCTGTTCACATTTTGTTTGGTCTGGTTAACGTAGGCTGATATTTTATGCTTATTTACGTTTGGCCACACTGCTGCAAAATTCCAGGGAATCATTTGCATGTGGACAACGTTTGCGAAGCTAGACTACGTTTCTTTGCTGGTCTTTTCAGTGATTTGCTGTGAATCCTGAAGACTCCTTTTGGGTGAGCAAGAATTTACATTTACACCCATAACTAATCTAGTGTTTGCTTACTATTGTATTTGTTTTTTCCCGAATCAAATATCTTTGTGAATTATTAATCATATTGTGTAAGGCTTAGTGATGTCTTTGATATTTGCAGATAACAGGTCATCACAATGAAACACAAGTAATGGAAGGTTTACGTCGGTATACCAACAGACCTAACTACCTACATGAATTGATGTGCAGCCTTTTTGACAAAACAAACTACTTGAATAATACACGTGTAGATATTATTGAGGTAGGTTGGTCTTGCCAAGTCACCCATGGCAACGTTGTGTTTACACCAATGTCAATTTCTGTCACCTTTCACAAAATAAACCCATCTAATTATTTTAATATTTTTGGAACAATTTTCAACCATTCCTGTTGGTAAACAAAAAAGTCGTTTTTCAAAATTAATTAAAAAATTATTGAAAAATACGCAAATTTTTACATCTATAATTTTGATGGGAAAAATTATTGGATGTGATAGCGCCCTCTGTTGTCATAATTGATAGTTTATAGTGAATTGGCAGAATTGAATATTTTGAATTTCTTCTTTGTCATAATTCAAAATCTTACTCAAAATAGAACATGAAAGTGATACTGATTTGTTGTTGACAACATGCATCAATGATAAAAACATTTTCAACCTCAACTTTTTTGCTCCGCTGTCGACTTTGTCGAGCGGAGCTTATTATATGAGTGATTGTCTGTCGTCGTCCGTTGTCTGTCGTCCGTGTCAATGTTTTACTTTTTCAACTTCTTCTTGAAAACTACGAGGCTGAATGCTTTAATTAATACTTGGTGTATATGTACCTTGGGTAGACCTCTCTCAGATTTGTTCATCATTCATGATCATATCTTCAATTTTCTTATTTTGGTGAATATTTTTGTCATTTTTGGTAAAAAATTATATTTTCGACTTCTTGTTAAAAACCGCACGTCTAATTGCTTTGATGTTACATATATAGGTACTACATGTGGACCTCTCTCAGATATGTTCATTTTGTAATGATATCTTCAATTTTCTAATTTTGGTGAATATTTTTGTCATTTTTGGTAAAAAGTGATATTTTCAACTTCTTGTTAAAAACCGCAAGTCCAATTGCTTTGATATTACATATATATGTACTACATGTGGACCACTCTCAAATTTGTTCATTTCATGATCATATCTTCAATTCTCTAATTTTGATGAATATTTTTGTCATTTTTGGTAAAAAGTGATATTTTCGACTTCTTGTTAAAAACCACAATCATTTATGGTGAAAAATGATATTTTTGAATTCTTGTTGAAAACAGCAAGTCCCATAGCA